AAAAAAAAAAAAAAAAAAAAAAAAAAAAACGGTGCACGCATAGGTACGTATTTTCACCTAGTTCAAATGTGCATACATTCAGGAGCACACTTTGTGTACGCGTATTTTTCTCCACGATTACTTTATTTTCCGTCCCTGGGTGTATTTCTACACGAATCTCTTGTAGCATGTGTGTGTGTGTATATCGCGACTCCCTTTTCCAACCTTCCCCTTCGATTCATAATCACTCAACCATTCGCCCTTTTTATTTCACACCACTTTGACCATGTATAAAAACACATTGAATGTCTAGCCGCGCGATTTCTCCAAAGGGAAGCGAATAATAAAGCGAACCATGCGGAACGAACGAAACGCATGTAAATAAACACTTTACACTCATGTCCTACCGCTTTAAAACACTTCGCGCCTTGCCTTCTCCTCCCTCCACCGTGACTCCTTGTTTTTATTAACTGCATGCGATGTGTGCTCTGTCCCTTTCACCTTCCGTTCATCGATCCTAAGATTGAATCACGCGACATCGCTCAAAGTAGCTGTGTCCCCCTTTTTTGTAATGACTGTTTTTTGCTCTAAGTCTGTTTGTCTCTCCTTTACCATTCGCACCCTGTTCACAGTCATGAATGTGTATGCTTGACTCTCCTCCCCCCCGACCTCAAAAAAAAAAAAACACACACACATGAGTAGCGAATCCGTTTCTATACCCATCCATTGTACAAAAAGTAACCCTCCTCTGAGGCTCCTCTTTTTTTGCATACCCACTTTCTACACTACAACACAGGTGTTATACACGTGTCGTCCCCTCTTCCGAATTAGGAGGACTAGCTATTCACCCCACACCAATGCACGTCCCCACCTGTGGGGTTATCACCTTGTTGCGTGCATATAAGGCATGAGAGCCTCCTGGGGGAGTTGTTCCCCTGCGACCATCGTTGTTTGTGTCTGAGCGGCGTAAGGGAATCACATGGACGACCACTCCACTTGGCATCAACTGTTTATATGGAGTACGTTTTTTTTTTTTTTTCCCCCTCCTAAGTGCATGCAGTTGTGCACCACCTCCCTCCCACGCAACGTTGACACACGCAACGTTGACACACACACCGTTCAGTGTGTTTACGAGCAGACCGATAGTTGAGTTGGCCGATTAAAAAAAAAAAAAAAAAAAAAAAACATTGTCTCTCTCCACCAACACAGTTTCTATTTTTGTCTTTCTCCTTTCTTTAATGTATGCACCCGTGCCCTCTCCCAATTGACCAACGGCATTACACGCGCTGCTCCGATTTGTCCCGACGGCAGCTCCCATTTTCCGTGACGACTGCTCCTTCGTTTCGTCAAGCCACCCAACCATACTCACTTGTTACCATGCTTATGCGTGAACGCCCCTCACCGTTTGTTTCTTACATCTGTCTACACGTACATTTACTCCAGTTAGCGAGTCGTTGTTTTGTTTCCGCTCGCTCCAATGGAGCCTGTCCCATCCGGCAGGACATGTCCTTCGTCGCGTTGATTTAGTTTACTGCTCTACTCAGACGTTCGAACCCGTCTTTGTGTCCCTCGTTGTGCTGATCGTTGTGTCTGTCCCATTCCATTTTCTTCTCAACTGTTTCTTTTTTTCCATTGCCCCTCCCCCTCCGCATGGACCGCCAGTCATCGCGAGATCACTAACGTGTGATGTGCGTACTCGGCGCTGAAGGGGGCACGTGCGATTGTAGTTGAAAAGCTTCTCCCTTTTGTCTCCTTACAAGCGGTTTAGAAATACGTTTGACCAACCCGGTGGGAGACACAAATTTCTTCGCATCGCCCCAGTAACAAAACTAAATAATTAGAAGCAAAATTGTACCACTCTATCGGAGCGTCGCTGCGTCCATGCCGAGCTAGCAGCACATGTTCTACGTGACCTCGGAAGTTGCTCCACCCCAGGTCGACCATCCTAATCATTTATTAGATGTAGGATCTTACACGCGTGCACGAACACATACACACTGTCCCTCCTTTCTCGTCTTCTCCATGTTGATGTAACACTTGAGCACGTGTTGATCCGTCCTGTCATTGAAGTGGAGCAAGATTACATGCACCAGCCACCACGAACCCTCATTCTTACGTAATCGCATGGCTGGCAGGAAAAGAAAAAACATAATAATAATAATAAATAATAGAGGAAGGGAACGCATCATTCTGCATAAGGACATGCTTCCACTCCGCACCCCAACTGACCATCCAAATTGAATTTATAAAAGTGACGACATTTTTTCAGGTTGTAAAATTTCCCCGTTTGTCTTATATTTTTTTTTTTTGAGCCCGTACGGTTGAACAGTTGGTTGTGTTGAATGGGTTCCCCTGTTTGTCGCTCTAATCAATGAGACAATGGTGACATCCGTTAGAGAGGGGGTGATGTCTACCCACCTGCACACAAACGAGACCAGTAATCACGTGAACCAACTGCTCATTAATAATGGAACGCCCAACGAACACAGCTACGAAGGGGTAGAAGAGGTGGAAGCGGTGGAAGAGATGCACGTCATAGACGAGGCAAGAAGCACAAGTGCACACAGCGGTGTGGGGATCACCAATCAACTGGCGCAAAGGATGAGTCTCCAACGTAGAGTACACCCCAGTGATTACATGCACCACGTGAAGGAGGACAATCACACCCTTACAAACGAGAATGACACATTTATGAATAATTTCATGAACATTTATTTAAATGAAAAGAAAAACACACAAGATTGTAATGCGACGCAGTTCACCTCCAACCAGTATACACACACGAATCATCTCTTCAACGAGGAACACTCCTACGTACCCACAAACCAATATGATTACCTCAATGAGGCGGACACCAATATGGGTCACTTCTCTGAAGCAACCACCATGGAGGGGAGAGACAACCATGCAAGTGGGATGAGTATAGGGACAGAACATGCCTCCCCTGAAGTTTTATACATGCACATGATGAGAAGTGGTGAAAGGAATGAACCCTTTATTGGTGATCACTGCCAGGGGGATTATTCCCCCAGGGAAAATTCGCTACTTAGGTGTAATGGTATTAATGGAGGAGTCTCGCCGTGTGTCTTGAAGAACGGAGGTGCGGAAGACGCGTATAAGGTGCCCTCAATTGGGGACCACTCAAGAGGGGACAAGCCGGACCACGGCATGATAGACAGCATTTTAAAAAGGGCCCTGCTCAGCAGCGACATTTTGCAAAACGAAATTTTAAGCAGCGAAATGTTAAGCAGTGAAATGTTAAGTAGTGACGTGCTCACGGAGGTGGGCATGGTCCCCAGCGTGGCCCCACCGCAGCAGGAGGGCACCGACCACCACGCCTACGCTCGCCACGGAAATTTCACCCCCGGGCGCGAAGACGCCGGAATGGAATTTCACCTGAACAGTCAGGCGATTTTAGCCCCAGATCATCTGGCTAGCCAAAATGCCCAAATAAATTATAACGAAATGAATGGAGGTGCGTGTCAGCAACTTTATTCAGACAGTTATTCAGACAGTTACCGACCTCGCCTCGAAGGGAATCTTTTTTACAATACACAATTCCATGCACATGGAATATCAAATGAAAAGGAAAACAAAAATAATAATAAAATTAAAAATAAAAATAACCATCCCAATAGGGTACTAAATCGAAGTTGCACAGATGGACTTCATGTCTACTACGAGCAACACAGCAGAGGGGGGGATGGCGGTAGTACGGGGGAGAAAAGTCTGTATGTGTCGTCAGGGCGAGTGAGCAACGCCAGTGTGGGCAGCGGGGCCCATGGCCAAAACATACAGAACACAGATTGGGATGATGAAGGAATGAACTACATGTCATCGTGCAGGTGGAGTGAACGCAGAACAGGAGGTAACTCAAGTGCTGCTCACAGTGATGGAGTAAAAGTAATAGGAGAAGGGTCCCCCTGTGATGTAAACCGTCAATGCACCCATTCCATTCGTAACAATGTAAATGTAATGAGCAGAGTAAGGCACCCTTCTCTTAATATAGCTTGTCCTAATGTTGAGGAAGAAGGCCCTCTCGATTTGTCATTTCAAATGACGTCGCCTTATACAAAGTCGAATGAGGAAGGGGGTCCTACCGAAGAGGAAAAATTATATTCAGATTACTCCACAAGGAAGTGTGAAGAGATGCATTACATTTGTAAGGAAGACGCGTCGCCCAATTACATTTGTAAGGAAGACACGTCGCCTCATTACATTTGTGAGTGCACGAAGGGACTTCCTAATTCATGTGAAAGATACTCGGGTGGTGACTTGTACTCGTTGGAGACGCAGATGGACGTCCTGCATGGGGGGGAGGTGTTATACAAAAGTGACTCCCCCCACTTGGGGTTAGAACCCTCCATCGAACACAGTATACAGTGTATTGATGCACGTGTAAAAACAGAACCCATGGTAGGGGAAGACAGTCAGGTGGTGATCCGGGACGCAGATGTGGACCAGGCCCTCCTCGACGATGTGAAGTTTGAACAGCGAGTACATAGTAGGAGCCTTCCACATGGAGTGATCACAGCGGACCCATCAAATGGAGAAATGTATTCTCGCATAACCATGTGTGTGAACATCGCTAAGGGGGAACATGCAGGGGGGAAACAACCCATGGCGAATACACCATTTAATGGAAGTGACCCGTACCCAAGTCTATACACGCAGGGTAGCATGATGAGCAGCGTGCCGAGCGCACAAACAAATGGCCGACGGATGAACCCCGTGGGGCCAGCGACCCCATCGCAACAGTGCAGTCGCTTCAACGAAGCAGACACGCACATCATTAACAGTGATTACCATTTTATGAACGCCGAAGCAGAAGCAGAAGAAGAGGAGGAGCAGGGACCACTCGCTACGGAACACTTCTACCCATATAATTACCAAAGGGACGTAATGTCTGTTGTGCGAAAGGAAGGACTGGAGGACCATTTGCCCCATCAGGAAGATTTATTTAATAGGCATAACGTTTCTCATTTCAGCCTGAACAGTGTCCTTATGGATTCGCTTGAAGATGAATACAATGCAAGGAACCGTGTGTCGTCTGTTTGCTCGAACAGCTGTGAGGCATCAGTGGGGACCCTCCACGATGTTAGTCCTTTAGGTAGTCCCTTAGCTACAGGTGCCACTACCGACTTGCAAAATCAAAACCCATTTTCACGAAATAACACATGTAATGTGTATGGAAGAGACTTGGGGGTGGTGGAAGGAATGCAGAGCAATCACTGCTCAATGATATTGCCCCGATTAATTCATAACGACATGCCTGCAGATGCAAACCATGATCTGGGTCTTCCTCCACTCATACGCATGGGTGAAAATAATTCGTTCAATCGTTATAATGACTTTAGTGAGGCGTCGCCCACGTGCGTTAATCTGCCCAGGGGTGTCTCCCACAGTGGCCTTGCAAATGGTGTCTCTTCAAGTAGCATCTCCCACAGCGGCCCTGCAAATGGTGCCTCCCCGAACGAACATGCCTTCGTGGGTTCTAACTGCTGTACCACCATCAACGGGATCAACGACCCGTGTTCCATGCAGGTAGTAGATGCTTCGAACAGGTTGTGCCTCCCCAATGGCACCACCAACCAGATCGGCATCTACAACTACGAATTGCTAACGTTCAAGCAACCCAGTAACTACTATGATGGTGTGAACGATGTCGTGGTGAAAGGAGGAAGACCCGATGATGTAACATATTATACCTGTGCCACTCAGTCGGTTGGAGGAGAAAATAATTATGTGCATGTTCGTGGGGACGATTTTGGCAGTACCCATTACTCCACCAATAACAACTTTGTGAGGACGAAGGAAGGATTCCCTCATGTCTCCACAGGGGAGTATGTACAGGACAGTAGGAGCAGCACCACGACGAGTGTGATAAATGAGGATATGGTGGTAGGAAGTGGCTTCTCCAGGGGGAATATGAACATGCAAGATGGTTCCCCGGTCAACACTCTACGCGATAGTGTGATCAAGTTAATGTCCATGATGTTGCAGAGGAAGAAGGGGGTAGGGGGTACCAACGGAGTGACAAGCACAACGTGTACAAATGACATGGTGTGTAATACGGGCTACGCGAATGTCAACCCTAGTCTCACCAACTACGATCGCTTCCCCAGCCTCAATCACAACACCACGCAAGGGTCCAATGAGCAGCGTAAATACATGACCTCACAACAGATGAAGAGTGTTCAGAGGGGAAGTTCACATCGGCGTGTCTACCCCGGTGTCGAGGCTCCATCGCGGAAGACACCTCTACAGAACAGCAAACATGTGAAAAGTGCCATAAGGATTCGCCGCTGGGCCATCCCACGAGTATCCTCCCCCCGCATGCATGAACCGCCCACCGCGAAACTGCGCATTGTTAAAATGAGTGTTGTTACGCGACATATGCGTACACCTCGCATTCACATACCTTTCATCACCACACAGAGTGTTAGCGGCAGTGGGAAAAGTCTCGCCCACCTCTTCCACCTTCGTATGGGTACCCCGAGAGTGACCACCACCAGGATGAGCGTCATCCGTTCAATCAACAATAGCTCCTCCACCCACCTCTCACGCCGAGACGAACAAATGGTAATGATGAAGAGTGTGCTTGGTGAGAATGAAGAAGGCCATGTCACGAATTATAATGAGGCGGCCACTACCGGTGCAAACGTACACTATGAAGAGAATAGGACATTCGAAACTAGCCATAATGATGAAACCCCCGTGGAGAAAAAAGCAACAAAAAAGCGCTCGAGAAAGTCCAGAGTAAAAAGAAAAAATAAAGTCTTTGGAGGAATTGTAAAAAAGGGAGGCATTTCTTTCGATTTGGAAGTTGAATCGCGTAGAATTAAGGAGACCCCCTTCTGTGCATACTCCTTGATTGACTTACTTAACAACCATAACGCTGGTAGGAGGGACGGGGGGGTGAAGACGACTGTGAATGGGGGGGGCTGTAGAGACATGTTGTGGTGTTCATGTGACATTCACCATAACGTTAACTGCTTCACCGAGTATGTTCATTTTTTAAGGGGGAAGACGATGGGGCAGGGGGAGAAGCAGGATCGTGAGGAGGAGCAGGAGCAGATGGACGAAAATGACGAAACCAGTGATAGTCGCGGTCACGATGCAAGGGAGGAATGTCCGAGTGAGTCGTCCCGCAACAAAACAGAAGGGGGCAAGACAGAAAACACAAAACAGCTGGGAAAGGAAAGAGAATGTGATGCAAAAAAAAAAAACTTCCTTCCACAATGTGAAAACGTATACTACAATGTTAATAAAATCTGGTCCTCTCATTTCAATAGGCCTTTGGGGGACATAGGTAGGAAATTAATATTAAAAGAAATTCGTGAATTACATTACAAGGATGCATTTAAAACCACGTCGCTTCTAACAAGAGAAGGACTCGATTACGGTAAGGTTCGATTCATGAAGGTAAGCGAGCTGTATCATTATATGTACGCACTGGGTGTCTTTGAATATGCTGTGAAAATTTCTCTGGAATTTGGATCCAACATTCGAATGAGCAGTGTAGTGACTCAAGGAAATTATCGGAACACGTGTAACAATTTGAATAACGGGTATAACTTTTGTTTTATATGTTGTTCATGCAAAAATCCTTCTCTGAGTTACATTCCCCTGGGGTTTCATTTGGCGCAACATCGCATGTATATAAAAAGCTACTCCACCTTTGTTGAAGAATTTGCTTCGCGCTATATTGTGAATGGGGCAGACCGCCAGTCCACACGGAGGACCCCTATGCGTAAGTTTCTTCCCCCCAATGCTGTCTCCGCTGTTGGCGCAGTTAGCGGTGTTAGCGGCGTTGTTAGCCGCGTGAATAGTATCGCTAGCAGCCAGAGTAGCAGTCCCACCAACGCATTAAGCTTCCGTACCAGCGGCGCCTTCAGTTGCGAGCCCAGTACCCGCTTCAGCTGCGAAGCGGACACCTCACCTGTGGGGCACATGCCAGAGAGGGAGCAACTCGACACACAGGCAGAGACACACACGACAGCATGCACGTAGGCAGGGCTATTCCGGATTACGCCACTACAATGTTAGTGACATTGGGGGAGCTTTACACACATCATTTGCGTCACACAAGAATGACTCTCCCGTAGGCGAGGTGCAGTGGTTAGTTTGAAGTAGTCTTCCCCAGCCTGCACGCACGGGCTCACCTCTGTTATGTACGTATGCATGCGCCGAGGCGTAAAGAGAGAGTACACGTAGAGGTAGCGGCAAAAGTAGAACCAGCAGCAGCAACAGCAGACAGACACGCACAACTGAACACCTTGCAACGTCCAGTGTGACCCACTTCACGCGACGCAAAACTTGTGTGCCTCTCTTCAATTAGCAGGTCCAAGTTGGCCTGATGGGTGGCAGCTCCCGAACGGCTACCCCGATGGGGAAACAAAGGAAGCGAAAGAAGTGGGAGAAACGAGCAAAGCGAATGAAGCAGCTCCGTTTCCACGCTGCGATTCAGGCGCCAGACGCCACCCACGTGTGCGCCCCGGGGCAACCTCCGTGGAGAACCGAATGGTACCTGTAACGGGTGACTTCGCGCGGGAGGACGTCCATCCTAAGGGAGCAGGCGAATGCCAAGAGGACACACACACGAACAACAGCATAAGTGACGCAGAGGAGGAAAGGGAAGTGCAGGAAAATTATTGCATTGGGGAAAACTTGAAGAAGGGTGATGAAGACGACAACGGGAGTAGTGGCATAGCGGCAGGTAGCACCACCACTGGCGATGTTAATGGAATTGCCTCCTGCAGCGTCAATAAGCATTCCAGTGGCTGCACCTCTGGTTACGCCTCGGGCGGTGGCTCCACTTGCCACGCGTGCAGCAGTCACTCGTACACCAGCGTCGGAAAGCACCAACCCTACGTCCCCAACAATTGTTCTGTGTACATGCCCGAACTGTTGAGCCACCCTCCAAGGGAGAAAAGCACCCCGTATGGTTACTACAAAGAAAGACACGATGCTACCAGTGAGGTGGCTGTATCATCAACAATGAAAGGGGAGGCATGTGCAAATTGGAAGGAGCTCATTTTGACCCTAATTAAAAACGAGGACAGTAATTGTAATGAGCGCGACGCAGAGAAGGACGGCAAATTAGTGAAGGGGATTAACAACCCATACGAAGTGAACGAGGTGAAAAACGCATGTCCCTACATTCATGAGGAGATTGCTTCCAACGGTGGAGGCCACTTGTACGTGGGGCAAGCAAAAATCTTAAGCCCCCCAGGAGCTGCGACAGGGAGTCCCCATGACAGCGTCAAGGGAGACGAGGAAAACATTGTGCAAGGTGAAAATGTGAAGGAAGTTGAAAGGGAAGTTGTGAAGGAGGAGGAAGGAAAAACTGCTCGGTTAGAAGGAGGCCCCTCCCAATGCGACGACTTCGTAACAGGAGACCCCCCCCAATGCGATGATTGCCTTCAAGAAGACCCCGAAGAATCCCAACTCCACACCGAAAGCGAAGGAGAAAGGCAGTCAAAAGGAAAAAATAAAATTATCTATCGCGGTGTCGAGGGGGACTTGGTGCAAGCGGAGTGCATGCACAGATATGGATTCCCAAGCGCGTGTAACAGTGGCGGTGGCAGTGACAGCGGAAGCAGACGCACGCGCGCAGAGGCCACTAACATAATTAAGAGGATCAAAAGGAACAAAGTCTACACGTCCATAATACATAACCTACGTAAGCAGATGTGTGCACGGAGGGGTGGAGAAAGCATACACAAGAAAATTAAAAAAAAAAAAAAAAAAAAAATTTCACTTTGGTGAGTACCAACCACTGTTTGGAGGAAGTCAAAGAATTGCTTTTGTTTCACGGACGGAAGCTAATAGACCTGGACGAATCTCAGCGAGTGGGAAGCGAAATGGTGTGTCGGTCGGTGCACGGAATTGATCCACATGCATAGGGAGTACTTGCGCCTCGGCCCTTTTCGTGGACAGCAGTCCTACAGATGATGCCGCAGGGAAACATTAACCGCACACCACTCCTTAACTCACACAAGACGCATGCACCTTTTTATACGTCAACCCTATTGCCCTCATGAATGGAACAGCAATATGGGGTGATGGTCTATGTTACGGTTGGACAGAGGTATACGCAGCTAATCCCCTGTCTGTCTTCTCTCTCTGTGTGCGGAGAAACTAACCAGAAAGAGCTTTCATTTTCGAAACGGAAAACCTTCAAAATTGAAAGTGTTGTCCCTGCTCAGGGGCAGGGGGAGGGTTACAAAAGTGCAACACCATCGTGTTACTAAAAAAAGGTTTTTTTTTTTTTTTTGTAAAATTGACCATGTAGACGGTGTAACTGCCATATTGTGGAGGGGCGGGGAGATGACCCTGCTTGAAAGGCCATCTGGCTAACGGTAAAATTATGTGCCTTCTTGCAATAGCACACAAAGGCATACACACTTTTGCGTGTGTGCTTCTCCCCTTGCGGAGGCCTAGCCAGGCCCAACCTTCGGAATGTCGAAATGCTCGCTAAGGGAAGCTAAGTTGTCATTAAACTTCTGCAGTCTCTCACGATAACTTTCCTTTAAAAGTTTTTCAATTCGTTGTTTCTCCCTTTTCTTTAATACCAGCTGATAGGCCTTTTCTGCCTCGGTTAAGTTCAGTTGTAAAACTTCCTTTAATTTTGTTTCATCGGCTTGCTTTCCCGTGCCATTTTTCTCAGTGTCCCTTTCACTTTCAAGTACATTTGTTCTTCCATCTGCACTCATGTCATAGTCCTTCCCTTGGCTATACCCTTGGTCATTGTACATTGTCCCAGTTTCTTCGTCGTAATTATTCCTGTCCGTTTTGTCTTCCGTGATTTTTTTTTTTTTTTTTTTTTTCCATCCCGTCCAGCTGCGTACTTGGAGTCTTTGGAATGGCTGCCTTTTTTAATTTTCAAATCCTTCAGTTTTAGCTTTCCTCCAACGAATTCACTGTCTTTCATTTTGTTTCTTTTGAGGTTTTACTCTAATGTGGAAAAGTGGGGCAAATCAAAATGCTGCTTAAGGACACACTGGGCGATCTTTTTCACATTATGTTCTTTTCCACATTTTTACCTGATCTGTTCAGAAAAAAAAAAAAATAAATAAACAAAAAAAAAAAAAAAAAAAATTTCCACTTTTGAATAGCTAGCTGGGGAAAGTGATGGTTATTATTCCGGAGTACGCTCGGGCGCCGCAACGGCGACGATTTTCCAGCATGTCTGCGTGTCTGTAACTTCTATGCGACTGTGCGACTATTCTCCCTTTTTTGCGCCCACTTCGGATGTGCTAACACTTGGGGGGCGGTCTTCTCATGACACATCATTCCCCTCATCCGCATATAAATAATGAAAAATGAAAATCAAAATGACTATGGAAATGCCTGCAGGGGGGTGGCATGGGTAGGATGGACGGTATACTCGTGTAGGCGGTACACTCGGATGGACCTCCTTCGCTCAGTCGCTGCGCCCGCTGCGATATCACTGAGAAGGATTTCGTGCAAATTCCCTTTGCAGCTATGAAGCTAAACAGCGGGCAGAGCATTTGTCGCCGATCTCCCAACATATATGCAGAAAATTACCCAGGATGTTTGAGACTAAGAACAGCTCATAGTCCATGGTGCTTCGTCCTTCTTTGTGCTTCCTTTGTGCTTTGTCACTTGTGCGGGAATTCTCACAAATGGGGTGATCAGTTGGGGGAATTTTTTTTTTTTTTTTTTTTATTAATTGGTAAAATGGCGCGCAAGTTACTTGTTGGGAAAAGATGTGCTTTTCCCCTTCGCAAGGCGTTTCTCCAATTTCTGCGTTTGCACCAACTTTTGCGTTCGCTGGTTGAGCGACGGTGCAGCGATTTTTTTTCCCCCACTGACGTGGTGCGTTTGGCGCTATCATGTTTGCAGGGCCCCGTTCGGGAACCCCGGTGAGCCACCAACCGACCGATAAGCTTCACGATGTACCTTTTTACCCACGTCATATAAAATACTTCAAATGGAAAAATCACCTCCAGCCAATTTGCTAGTTCCCACGATTCGTTCTGCTCGACCGCAATTTCACTCCATGTGCCGGCCCCAGCGTGTTGTCGCGCGGAGATATTTTCCCCGTGTTGCCAATCCAGCAGGGGATTGAACACATCGGGGGTGGAGGGCAGTATTACACCTTCACTTGGGGAGGGTAACGCTCCTACTAGTTTCGTCCCGCTGTGTTATAGGGCCATCGCGTCATGTGGATATAGGTCACGAGTGAATCCCCACAAATACGATGATAGCATACGGCTCGCCCGCGCTGAGGAGGCACACCTCCGTGCTAGCGAAAAGGTTGCCAAAAGGGAAAAAGGTTTTTCTCTACCTGAACAGCGCAGGTAGAACCTTCTCCTCCATTTGTGTGGACAACTTGCGAAACATCGGAATTAGTGCACACATAGATGCAGGAAAAACCACTTTAACAGAAAGAATCTTGTACTACACAGGGAAAATAAAAAGCATACATGAAGTTAGAGGGAGCGATGGAGTAGGTGCAACAATGGATTCAATGGACCTAGAAAGAGAAAAAGGAATAACGATCCAATCAGCAGCAACGAATTGTAACTGGGATTTTCACGACAAAAAATTTACCATCAACATAATTGATACCCCTGGACATGTGGATTTCACCATCGAGGTGGAAAGATCTTTACGTGTGTTAGATGCAGCCATACTTGTTATTTGTGGAGTATCCGGAGTTCAAAGTCAAACATTAACAGTGAACAGGCAAATGAATCGTTATTTCATCCCACGAATATTATTCATTAATAAGCTAGATAGAGATGGTGCAAATGTGGAAAGGGCACTTAGTACCATAGAGAAAAAGCTAAACTTAAACACTCTCCTGTTGCAAATGCCAGTTGGAATTGAGCAGAAGTTTAAAGGAGTGTATGATCTTGTGTTGAGAAAGGGTTACTTATTTAAAGGTGTAAATGGGGTCATAGTGGAGGAAGTGAATGATGAAGAGGTGACTCTACACGATCCATCCTTTTCATACGAAGTGATGGATATGCTTAGAACCCGTATGTTCGAAAAGCTAGCTGATGTGGATGATGAATTTGCTGATGTCTTCCTCAACCAAGAAATTAATGATATAAAGACAGAAGACGTGATTGCTGCCATACGCAGGTGCACCATCAAGAATGCCATTGTGCCCATCTGTCTGGGTAGCGCTAAGAATAATGTAGGTGTTCAAATTTTGCTCAATTATGTGTGTAGCTTTTTGCCCTCTCCCCGGGAGGTGGGTAGTTATGGCTACGTCTACGAGGGGGGTACAGACGCAGGGAAGGATGCCAATGAGGAAAACTGTACCCCTGCACAGGGGAAAAGCCGAAAGCGTGTCGACTTGCAGTGTGACAGCGCGCTGCCCATGGTGGGTTTCCTCTTCAAAATACAGGAGGATGCGATGCATGGCCAAATGAGCTACTTCCGCATCTACCAAGGGAAAATAAAAAAAAAGGATAACATAATGAACATGCTAACGAGCAAAAAAGAAGTCATAAAAAAAATATTAAAAATGCATTCGAACATGGCCCAAGAAGTGAATGAGGCACATGCAGGGGATATCGTTGCTATTAATGGTATCAGCGGACGCACAGGGACGACCTACACGAATGGAATCGCCTCGAATTTACATCTGCTAAATATACATGTGCCCAAGCCAGTCATATCGGTGGCAGTGGAAATTGAAAAGAAAGGAGACATGACCAAGCTGACCAAGGCATTAAACAAGTTCGTCAAGGAAGACCCAACCTTTCACGTAAAGACTGATGAGCAAACGAAGGAAATTCTATTCGAAGGAATTGGAGAATTACAATTGGAAATTTATAAAGAGAGGCTAAAAAGGGAATATGGGATAGGGGTACAATTGAAGAATCCTAAAATAAATTTTAAAGAAACCATTACCAAACCATATGAATGCACATATACATATAAAAAACAAAAGGGAGGTGCAGGATTGTATGCACATGTTCATGCGATTTTCGAAACCGTGTCTGATGATTACAACGAGACCAGTTACTGTTCCTTTGTTAATGAAGTGGTGGGAAATGATCTTCCAAAAAATTTTATTTTATCAATTGAGAAAGCCTTTAAAGAACAAGTTGAAAAAGGTTACCTGAACAGTTCAGAAATTATTAACATGAAAATGAGATTAATTGGAGGGAAGATTCATGAAGTCGATAGTAATGACTTGGCATTTAAAAGAGCCACCATTCATCTTATTAAAGAAAACTATCAAAACTTTGTTCCTGTACTTCTTGAACCCATTATGTTGGTGGAAATAATTTCACACTACGAACATCAGAGCAACATCCTCACCAGCATCACCAAGAGGAAGGGACTGGTCACCAACATCGTTAACCAAATGAACGCTGTTCATATTTACGCCGACATCCCCCTAAAACACATGTTCAATTATATCAACGAGATTCGCTCCATTACACAGGGACAGGGTACCTACACCATGGAGTTCGCTCGGTACGAACAGGTCCCCAAGAGCGATTTGGACGAGATCCTGCGTGCAGCAGGAAATGTCAATAAGCGGTCTGAATAGGGCAGGTGGTTTCATCACCACGTTAAGTGTAACGGGGCAGTAAAATAATACCTTCCCTTGACCGCTTCAAAAAGTGGCCTCCTTTTTTATTAGGGACGTTTCTCCGTGTGACCTCTACCCGCAGTTGACGCGGAGATGATGTGTTTATGCATGTGCAGCGCTAACCATTTTTGTGACTTTTCTCCTGTTGAGATAGCTTTTAACAGCGATGGGGGAAGTGCATCGTTTTTTTCTTTCTTTTTTTTTTTTTTTTCACCTAAACGCACCGGCGATTGTGATTGTAAACACGACTGCAACTACGACTGCAGGTAGAGCGCGATGTTTTTTTTTTTTTCCCGCGCATCCGATGCCCCACACGCCAACGCCGCTGTCGCAGGCTCATATGAAGGGACTTCGCACCTTTCCGCTGCAACAAATCGGGGCGCTCTCCTCTACCACCCCATGCGCCTTTTCAGCCAAAAGCAAAGCGGAAAAAAAAGGGAGCACCCCAACACCGTTCAATCGCTCACTAAGAGTGTTAGCACATGTTAAAACGTACATTCTCGTTCTGGGTGTAAAAATATAACAGCATACAGATTACGCCCCTGCGCGGTATGCGATGTAGAGGATACACCCTGTTTCGTTCCTGGGTAATTTCTCAACAGCCACAAAATGAATAGCAACAAGGAAAAGTAAAAAGGGAGGTACTCCTTTGTGTATCCCTTTCTTATTAAAAAAAAAAAAATGGAATCCTTCCTTCGAGGTATCCACTCAAATGTACATTTAAAAGGAAGGTATCATTGGAAGAGTACACTTTTTTCTAACGGGGAGGGGAAAAAATTCTGTTGTTACCATCTGCGGAAGAGTGTATCGAGAGAAGAAGTGCCTTCTGTCGATGATGGAGGGCAGGGTGCAAAGCATCCCCATTGTGAATCGCCTTCCAATGGAAACCACCCAACTTGGTACTACAACGTCCCAGTCAATGTGGAAGGAAGGGGGTCGGACGACAACCGCACCACCACGAAGCGGTTTCGTGAAAAACGCTTGCGTGAAACATGGTTAGAAGACAAACGCAGCTGTCTGTGTTCCTCCAAAGCGAACAAAAATGCTTGGCATAGCATACTCTCCAGGTGCTTCTCACCCTGCAGTCGCCGCTTCCCCCCCGGTGGACGGCCATTCACGTCATTTCAAAGCGGAACACAACCTAAACACAAACATAACCAAATCGTCCTCACCGACCAGTTCATAAATCGAGAGAACTTGAAAAAAGAAATTTTAGACACCCACAAAAAGCTAACCGCGGATTCCTTCATCGATAAGAGGAAAGAGGAAATTTATTTTCTGTTAAAAAGTGCTATTATGCCGAACCTGAAGGGGAAAATTTACTTCGTCGGCTCCTGTGAAAATCATATATGGTATGCAGTCCCAAAAAATATGCATACGGAAAAATGTGTGTAGAAGTATCGGTTTATGTGTATGTGGGGTGGATGGCTAGTCAGCTAGCTAAAACCACACCTAGAATAAAAAAAAAAAAAAAAAACACACATTTTTCGCCTGAACAGATCAGGCAGAACTGAACTGCACACACATTTGGGAATATATATACACATATATACATACACGTGCATATGTTTTTCTCTTCTTTCCCTTCACCGAAAGGATAAAAAACTCAGACATCGACTCCTGCATAGTTGTGGAGAACTGCGAAGACAAGAACAGCTACCTGTACATTTTGAAGGTGATTAAAAGTGCCATAAATCTGATTTACCCTTCGCTGACGGTGAATATCATTAAGGCGTCCGTTCCGATAGCTAAGATTTACAGGGAACAGAATAACATTTGCGACATCAGCATAAACAACACCGTTGCGATTGTGAATACCAAGCTGGTCTCGTCTCTTTGCAACACGGATGAGCGCGTCACGATTATAAACCGCGTGATTAAATACTGGGCAAAGCAGAAGAACATCAACAACAGGTGGGAAAAGGGGCATACCCAATCGTGCCTACCGCCTTGCTGCCGATGGCCATGGTGCAGATCTCCATCGTGCATAAGGCAATGATATGTTACGTCACCGTGCACATCTCGTGCGCATACATAAAGTGCCCCATCGTCACCTCCTTATTCTCCACCTGACCCGCTTAAAACAGATCACAAGGCACCTTCAGCTCGTATGCCCTATTTCTCCTGACATATTACTTCCTACAAAATTTGGAGACCCCCCTGCTGCCTCCATACAAGTACGGACGAAATGGGAGTTCACCCTGCGCAAGACGCTGTGTGGGGAAACATCTTGGACGTGGACCTTATCACGTGAACATATATATATGTATATATACAAACACATGCACATGTGCCCACCTCCACCTGACAGGTCCATAGAACGGGAAAACGCATCCTCCTTCGAAATAAACAGCGAGTGTAAGTGGGATGAAACACCTGGAAGCTGATTGCTCGGTTGACAACTCCGAATTAGGAACCCCATGATGATTTTCCCGCTATTCCCCTTTACAGACTTCTTCCTCCAGGATGACGTGGAAATGCCCTTTTACACAGACGCAGGGTAATGAGCGTAGGAGGGAATGGAAAGATGAGAGAGAGCGCACAGTACGTCCTGTTGCATTACGCAATGGGGTATCGGTGCCCAATTGACACTCCCTCTCATTGATGATAACTGCGCGTCCCTTCTCCCCCCCCACAGCGACATCACGAGCAAATTGGACACTCGCAAAAATGAAGATGACGTGTCGAAGTTGCTCTACGGGTTTTTCGAGGCAAGCGGAAAAAAAAAAAAATATGTACATATGTATGCACATGTGCATATGTACCAATGTGTACACACCACCGCGTCGCTACTCCGCTTCACGCGCGACTCCCCCTTTTGGACCCCTGCGCAGTTCTACTCGAGGAGCTCCTGCAGGAACGGAATAACCCTAGACATATACAATAACCAGATAATCGAAAACAAAGATATGACGGCCAACATCTTCTGCCCCATAACGAAAAAAATTGTAAACACCTACAGCATTAACACGTGGAAAAAGATGTTTGAGAAAATTCTGGCTGCCCATGAGCGACTCAAAAGTGTAAGCGGTCGACCTGCGTGCATATGCGGCGTAGTGCGCCTCGTTGGACCTACCACTGTGCATAAGCTTCTCCTTCCCCCCGACGCTGCAACGCTTTTTAAAAATGATCGGATCCACCATCACACCCCTTCCTCCATTATTTCCACCACGCAGGGGAAAAGCCTGGATGTCATTTGCGAAGAAACGAAGAATACCACACCAAACAGAAAAATTGATCTTAAAGGTAAGCAAAGGAGGGGTAGTAGAGTCCCCAGGTGAAATGGCGAGGTGCCACAAAAAAAAAAAAAAAAAAAAAAAAAGCAGAGATAGAACACGTTCAAGCGCGTATGTACGGCAATATAATTTCTTTCCCTTTTAATTTATTATTTTTTTTTTTTTATTTTTTTTTTTTTAGATCATCTGTTAAGGCGAAAACTATATCAGGGCCTGCACGAGCCGTAGTTGTAGAGACTTCATCTCCCGCGTGGTCCCCATGTGTTAGGGGAGAGGAGAGCACCGCGTCCCCCCTGCCAGTCATTTTTTTTTCCCCTCTTCCTGACACTGCCTCCATGCGATGTTGTTACCTCCCCCCATTTTGCAAGCTCGACATAGGGATACACAATGCATATGCATCAGGCGGTCCTCCTTTCTGAGAGGTCACTTCTTTTCTTCAACACCCTCACCCCTCTCTCTCGTGCACGAAGAATGAAAAAATGATCAAATTCGTTTGCGCGTGTCGCTTCAAAAAAAACAGCGTTGTCGCAACCACTGTGAGGCTGTTTAAACGTATTAAAGTTAGTCCATTAAAGGATGAGGTTATGAAGAGAAGCATTTGGAAGGCGCAGGGGAAGGTAACTGTGGATGATGCTTTGCAGCACTTCACCAAGTCGGAGTTGTTTTTTCTCTTCTTCGTTCCATTTACCTTTGTGTCCGGCTATATTGTGGCCATGTGGACCCTCTTCAAGTATATCTGTGACATTAGGGATGTAAGGCTCAGGGGGAGGGGGATTAAAAAGCGGTCTCCACAGGAGTGTGCCGACTACTCCGCTGTCCACGCGTGTGTATATATGTATATGTGTGTGTGTGTCAGTTGATGTGTCCCCCGCTTGATAATGACTTCTACGCATCGACTCGGCACACTTGCATGGCTCCCTTTTTATTTTTTTTTCACCCCACCAGATTGAACACTTCATAAGAACGGCGCGCTGGCTGAATGGGAAGGAGCCCTACCCGTTTCAGTACCCGCGGGCGGAGCGCAGAGCGAGGAGCCTCGAAGGGGTAACCACACAGCTGCGCCGGTACTACGGTACACCTCTATGCAGCTATGCAGCGATGCACCCTACACCGCTTTCCATTCCTTTCCCCTCTGCAGGGCAAACCCATCATCGTGGCGGTGAAGAAGTTCGAGTAGTCCATAGGGCAGTGGTTGTAGCGCATTCGCCTTACCACTTTGCCGCGTATCACTTTGCCGCGTATCACTTTGCCGTGTACCAATTTGCCGAGTGCCGCTTTGCCGCGCTTTACCGAAGCTGCCCATTTTTGCGGATGGTGTCCTCGATCCGCTGGGCGCGCTTGTAGAGCTCCACGACGTTGAGGGACTTTACAAAGCGCAGGAGCGGGATGATCTGCATCCGTTCCATGTGAAGGCAGTTGACCTTGTAGCAGCACAAGGCCTCAAACAGAGACAAGGAGGAGTAAATAAAATTTCTGTCTTCCGAAGCAGATTGCATTTCCTTAATAATTAGGGGACATAGCTGAAGGCAGATCTGCTCGTTCATCTCGTAACTGTGTATTAAAATTTTTTTAAAAAAATAAATCAACTTCACCTTCTTAAATTGTTGCATGTCGGTGGTCTGGTAAATGCAAATGGCAGCAGCAACGATTTCAACACAATTGGAGAGTAAAAATTGAGCATACGTTTTACAATAATTACAGACTTGGCCAATGACACAAAGGATGTTAATACATATCTCTTTCTTTGCTTTTAAGTTAATGGAGTAAGTATTAAAAAGAATGTCCATCATGTGTAGGAGGATGCCACTGTTTATTATGCCTTCACACATCCACGTACTTTTACTCAAGTTAATATAAAGGAGTACAACTTTATGTACTACATTATAATCATTTAATAAGATTAGAAGATTACATGTCTTGTGAATTCCATAATTGATCAGGACATTCTTCGTTTCATCATTGTTGTTTGTGATGTTAATTAATATACTTAATATGAGCACACTTAAATTTTTTTTTTTTTTTCTTTTTTTTTCTTCACATATGTTTGCTAGAAAATACATTATCGCACTTATCAGTGACGAGTCATATTTATTTTTATAATCATTTGAAAAAATGAGTAGCTTTTTTAAAATTTTTTTTTTTATTTTAATGTTTACTCCGTATTTCAGGATGCATGCGATGATTTGTTTGTAACTTGTATCGTGTTTGTATTGACAATGCTGGTTGATGTAGCCGCACTGGTGCAGGTGGAATAATAGGAAGTCGCTAACTGAGTGGTCTTCGCTCTCCAACAGGCGCTCGATTTTGGTGCGAGGCGCAGCACGTGTAGGACGTGCGGCGGAGCCAGTAGCAAGTGATTGTGCTGTCGCATTGGGTCCATTGGCGGCTGTCTCTTCCTCTTCCTCCTCGCGAAGAAGCTCCAGGCAGTCTTTCCGGTAGCCCACGGAGTAGTCCCGTGTGCGCAGGTGCAGCAGGAAATTCATCACGTCGTTCATGGCCTGCGGTGTGGAAGTGATATCACTGTCGGTGTAGTGGCAACATCGGTGTAGTGGCACCGTTCGTGTATTTACACCGCACGTGTATTTGCACCGTGCGTGACCCTACCAGCATGCTGTCCGCGTTGATCGCGATCGCCCCCTTGATCAGATCCGTTACGTTGAATTTCTCCGCTGCGAAGTGGGCAAAGAGGTTAAATGGGGAAAGCCCATCAAGGGGGGAAGGAATGTTCGTTTGGGGTCATGTACAAACCACCCCTGTTTCGTGCCCAGCTAAGGAATGTCTCTCCCCCCCCCATCACACATCCTCCCTTACATAGGAACCCCGAGTCTAAACAGTAGAGTAGGTAGTCGGAGAGCCGGTGCAGCACTCGGTTGATTTTTATCTGTTCGCTTTTGTGAGTGTCCAGGAGGTTCACGCCTGTCGAGTGAATGACAAAACTGTGTAGCGGAGAGCCAGTTGTGTTGCGGCCAGCCAGTTGTGTTGCGGTAAGCCCACCTGGAATCTGGTTCAGGATGACGTTCAGGAGGTACTCGAGGTTTCTCTCCACCTTGGTGTCCTCCCCCAGGAAGTCCATCACGTCTATAAGGGGAAAGGGGTGTCGCCACCATATACAACGCAGTCATTAGAATGCGGTGATGGGCACGCCGCGACTGAGTGCACTAAGGAGAAGAATAATACACAAGGGAGGCGATAACTACGCTACACTCTTTTCCTTTTTTTGTGGACATCTGCACCGACCAGAATTAATCACCACGTCTCCTTCTTTCAATATGACCATCATGGACTTGAAAAACATTTTTAGGTGATCAAAGTAGGACGGCTAAAATTGGGGCAAAGGGGAAAATGTGTGTATAATAACTCATTTTGCAGCGGAGTTTAGGAGGAGAACAGTGCGTGGTATCTTCCGTCACGGCTGCTTCTTTGCGATTGCTTCTTCGCGCGTGTGCATGTATGTGCGCGTATGTGCAGAGGTCACCTCTGTCTCGTCACCCATCTTCACTTACCTTTATTTTTAAGGCCGACTCGAAATATGCATACACCTCGGAATTGTACAGGAGGGCATCCACTTGGACTTGTATCAGATTTGCGTAGCTGAGATGAGTAAAAAAAAAAAAAAAAAGGCAAGGCAAAAATTCTTCTCATCTCTTGAACTGTTGTGTGGGGTTTGTAGCATGGGAGTTCTTCTTCTCCTAGTGGAGCACAAGGGGCCACTGTTTTCACTCAAAGTTGCCTGCACATGTTCAGGCGTTGCAAACACATTTTCACTGTCATATGTTAATATGTTCGTGTGTTCGCTGCTTATCGCTCGTGTGCGTGTTCCCTACAAGGTGTTGTGAATGTCATTGGGTGTTATCGAGTTGGCCACCACGTACACTTCTGCATGCAAATCCTTATCCGTAACGTCAAACTCTGAAGGAGGAAAATCGGAGCAAGGGGTAAGGGGAAGAAGCTGTGCATTGGTGAGACGTGATCTCCTGAATGGTGTGGGTAAAAGGATGACTTCCATAAAGACACACACAAGAGGGGTGGTGAACCCATTTTGAACATTTCGCTAATGGGAGGAGGTCCGACAGGGATACACTAACCCTGCTGACTCTGGTGAGAGATTTTAAACGTGACAAAAATGTCTTGACTTTTATCCAGCAGAGGGGGGATGACTGAAATTGGGGATGGTGAAGACGTGTCGCGTGGAGTCACACCTAGGCGAAGGGACAAAACACCCCACTGGCTTCACTTCGCTACGCTCATATCGCTACACTCCGCTACACTACATTGGTTACACTACATTGATTGCCCCGCCCTACATGACTTCTACTTACACATCCTCCTCAAAATTATACAGACAATGGTGTGCGTCTCGTTCTTCAAGTAGACCTAAAGGAGGGAGGGGGGTTGTGTCAGCGTATAACGACGTTTGAAGGGGTACCCATGGAAGGAAATTGCCAGCCATCCAGCACATGCGCCCAGCTGTGATTATCCGTGACGACTACCTATGTGTACCTACGCACATGTGCTTGTGTACGCAGTCACACAAATAAACACACTTTTCTCCGCTCCGAAAAAAAAAAAAAAAAAAAAAACACACAGTGGCAACTCCCAAACCAACCTCGTATCCAGACCACTTCGCCAAGTCGTCTGATAAGTTCATCTTCTTGTAGTAAAAATTTTTGCGTAAGATGAGTGGTATTTTGGAGTCGTTCTGTGTGGTGTTTAGCGGGGAGACGGCACGAAAATGGGTGTGTCTGAATTTACCTATGCGCGTTGCTCTCACATGGGTGCACTCATATAATTACGATTAAAGAATTGAGGTGGCTGCTCGCCAGCTGGTAAAAGTTACTGTCCGCCTTCTGCAAAAGGTGTGTGCAGTTGGAGTGTGTGGTGAGACGATGAAAATAAAGCGCAAAATGATAACATCTCTTTGGGGGAGTATCTCCCTCCATGCGCATATGGACACCGAGGAGAGTGAACACATGTGCCATTCACTTTGCTCTTTTTTATAACCCCATCCAACTCGATCATGCTCTTCTGGTCGTCTATCTTTATGCTTATTTCGATTCCTATTTTGTGAAGAAAAAAAAAAAAAAAATATGAACAAGTCAGCACACTTAATTTTAGCTAGCTCCTGAAAAGATCACTTCACGCTGCATATTTTTTGTCTGTATACATCTCTCTCTCACCTCTGTGATCGATGTAGAAGGTACTCTCGCTCGAAACGGATGCGAAGTCTTGTCAGGAAGAAAAAAAAAAAAAAAAAAAATGACAACAGAATTGTGCAAGTTAGAAACATGTTTCAAATGGGGTTGCAAAAAAAAAAAAAAAAAGTATGCACAGTTCAACATCTAATTTTGAGCGTGTCTGCAAACCGAAGGGGTGTCTTAATACAACTTAGTGCTTTCACAGAATAGTTCCCTCGCAAGGTTGGCACAATGTTGCCACTTTGAGCACCACATTGGGCACCACTTTGGGGGGGCTAACTTTGAAAGGACTTGTGGATGAAGAAGAAGTACTCGTCGAACACGACTTTGCGGTACCTGTCGGGGAAGAGGATCAACGTTAGTGAACTCAGCGCTAGAGAGGTGAGGCAGTCATCCGGGGGGATATTAACCCTCAAGCAGTTAACCGTGAATAGGTTAACACTAACAAGGTAGAGGTTAACCAGTTGGTGTACGCCCCAAGGGAGCAATGGGGGGAAACCATTTTGAACCTACCCGATAAACGGTTGCACGGAAAGGTCGACCTTCCTCAGTTGTGAATGATGTCCGGTTCTGTGGCATCTCTCCTCGTACGTCTCGTTTGTAATTGGCATGTAAATATTCTTTCAGTGGTGGAGATGGTGGAGGGGAAGTGCGTGTTTATAATTATTCGATACAAGAGTAAGCAAGTGTACGAATACGTACACGATACGCATATATATATGTGTGCATGTGTATGTATGTCGGGGTGCAGTCTCACGGAGAAGTCTGTGTTCAGTCTCTTTAGCTGACCATGTTCAGGTTGAACATGTAGTACGTGCTGTATGCAACACATAGTTGCTTCACGAGGATGCTCTTGTTTATTCCCTTGATGCCTATGTCGTTAATGGACTAATGGGGGGGGGCGGAAACATGATCACAGAGTGGACAAGTGCGTATCAATACCTGGACGGGTAAACCCTGAGCTCACTCTCACACATCCATGTGCAGGCCCCTACCGCTCCCTCCTTCAGCGTGACATGCACATAGTTGGACTCGTCGCATATATATATCTGCCGGATGTCGGCAAAGAATATTTGGAACTGAACTTCGTAAAAATCCTTTTCGTAAAAAAGCAAGTTGTCGTAAGAGATGATCATGTAATACTTTCCCTTCTTCCTATAGCTCGCTAAATTTTTGCACTTGACAAACTCAAAGTGGAGGACGAGCGAGTTCACAGATTTGCTCAGGCTCCTTTTCAGGTAGCACATCTTTTCGCGCGGGGAGTACAACAGGACAGAACAGAACAGAAACCAACGTGCAAAAAAACACGCATAAGGGGCTACCAAAATTTACAAGACTGGTGGGTCCGCGCAAAGGGGAGTAAAACCCAGTGGTTATTTTTACTACGTCCAAAAGGTGAGAAAATAATGTGCTATTTTTTTTTTTTTTTTTTTCCCTTTTTTACCTGAACAGGCAAGGTCAAAATGCACATTTCAGCCAAAACGCTTTTCTTCCCATTTTGGTTTCATGCGAAGTTTGTAAGCATTAGCATAAGGAGACAACAAAAAAAAAAGGCTTGCTCACAGAAGAAGATGGTCGAATGGACGAAACCGAAAAGTTGTGTCTCGTAAGATATAAAAACGAGTTCCTAAATCTGATTGATTAAAGCTTTAAAAGTTGCGCACACGGCGGACGGGCAAATTGGAAGTCTTCCAATTGCCAGCATACGCACACACAAAAAAACAAAAAAAAAAAAAAAACACGTAAACGATTAAACAATTAAACGATTAAACAATTAAACGATTAAACGATCAAATAGCGGCGCATCAAATTGCACATACAACACATAGCTACGTGGAGGACATCGCCATCAGTTCGCATATCCCCTGGAACGTGCCTTCCACTTCGATTAAATTTCCTCCCACTCTCAAACAGTTTGTAACACTTACAGAATCATGAACAGCGTGTGCTCGCATTCGTACATGCGATTGAAAGGGCCCCCTCTTGTGTGGAGAAGAACACATATATTACCAAACTGCATAATAACACAAATGGCGTTGCACACAAAAACTGTGTAGCCATTTTTGCGAGTCCTTCTCTATGCTCATTTTGTGAACACACCCCACAGAGTGGAGTGATAAAACTACCCGCTCCCCCGTTGCTTCCCTAATTGTGGGTGCACACCTCCGTGTCGAATCACAAGCTGCATCTCTAAATGCCCTTCATGACGTTGAAGAGGTAGTGTGAAGCCTCCCTCGTGAACAACCCCTTTATGTGATACCTCACGTAGCAGCAGTCATCCACCAGAAGTAACGAAGGCAACGTATCGTTGGGGGTGAACGAACCAACAGTTCTACTCCCAGGTAGCAGCAGCGTGTTTTCAACATCCACACTTAATCTATCATTTATAAAAAAAAAATTATTCCCTTTAAAATAATTGGCTTTTAAATCCTGTGCTATTCTTTTGCTAAAGTAACTTGAGAGGAGGTACCTGTATGGCGACACGTAGCAGTAGTACAGGTGGATTGGTTCCTGCCAGTCCCTCAGTTTTACAAAATTTCCTTCCTCATTCATGTTTATTTGTTGAATGTTCTGTGTGTGCGATGCGTGTTTTCCATCTTCCCCCTTTTGGCGCGCAAAATCGGCCAAATATTTCTTCACCTCGTGGACATGGCTCGTGTCGGTGAAAAGGTAAAGGAGGCTAAACTTCCTAAACAGAATTTCAAAAAGACTTTTCCTGCAAATTATTTCCCCATGGTCCCCAGGGGAAAAACAACTTACAAATAAATTAGTACTTATCCTATCGCTGTAATGGCACTTTTTAATTTTTGTTGAATATAAAAAGGCCTTTTCACTCCCATCACTCTTTTTGTAAAGCATGCCCTGTTGGTACTCCTTTATGTGGTAAGAAATGAACTTGAGGGCAGTTCTCCTTTTGGTCAAATATGGGCAGAAGGTTTCCCGGTCGATGTGTAGCTGGTCGGCGTGTAGCCGGTCGATGGGTTTTCCCTGCGCCTGCAGAAGGCCCTCCCGGTTGTTGTCATTATTGCCGTTGTTGTCACTCTCCACGAAGGTCACCGAGCAATCCTCTTTTTTTTTTTTTTTTTTTTCCTCTTTTAACACAACTTGGGAACTTTCCCTATTCGTGTGTATACCCGAGGGGAAAAAGAAGAAAAGTTTTTTTTTTTCTTTTGGGGCTGGAAACTGGGTCAAGCGGTACTTCAGCTGGGCGCAATTGCAAAGGCGCCAAATGCTTCCCTGGCGTTGCGCCATACGGGGGCCCGCCGAGAAGAACGCGCAGAAGAGATCGAACAACTGTTAGGGGGAAAAAAAAAAAAAAAAATGAGTTAAAACGGCCCAAATGCTTAAGTAAAAAAAAAATGTGAAAATAATTGGAAAAGCATGTGAGCAAAAATGGGAAATGAGGTGAAAAAAATTTGAGAAAAAAGCAAAAGGGCAAAATTGAAAAAACACAAATATGTGACACAAAAGTTAAACGAAAAAAAAAAAGGCCGCGAGCCGCGAGAATAGGACCGGCGCGACGTCGCATGCAGCAACTCATTTTCGAAGGCGTTGTGAGGGAGTGTACCCGACCCAAAGGGGTCAAACTTGCACAGTGGGTCCGCAGTGGCAAATGGGAAAAAAAGTTGCACAAAAAAAGGGAGCCGCGCGTGCAACACGGGAGAAGATGCCAAATTTTCCCGTGCACACTTAAAAAAAAAAAAAAAAAAAATTCGCATTTTTTTTTTTCCCCCTCTTTTTCCAGCTTTACTTTAAGGGCATTTGCCTGTTCGTTTATTTTTTGTGACCGTCCGTCTGGATTCAGAGAGCGCTCGATTTTTTATCACGCTCAACTAACTACTCTCATTTGGCTACCTCCACCCACCCACCCGCTGTGCTTTCCTGACGCACAATTCACCGATCATTCGCTCACTTATTCGTGTACCCATTTTGGAAGACAGCACACGTTTTTTTTTTTTTTTTTTTTTTTTTTTCACCCACGGACTCCTCCCCTGCCTTCCCCCCCAAGAAAGGATGCGAAATGGGAACGATGGACATTTGCTTGTCGGAATTTCTTGTGACGCTTTTTTCAATATCACGAAATTTTTAACCCTTAACGAGGTACTAAAACTGAAATTGGTGTGCAGGCATTTCAAGGAGTACATAAAAGATGAGAAGGCCTTTCTTCAAAATGAGTGGATTACTTTGAACAACTACATAAGGTTCGTGCGTCTTGTGCACCCCGAGAAATTCGGTTCCTTCTTGGTGTCTCTCCTGAGCGACGAGCGCAATGCGTACGCTATTCCTTTATGCGGTAAGGCCAACCGGAGAGGGGAACAAATTGGTGAAACGAAGCGGTGAAACGAAGTGGGGAGGAAATTCTCCCCCAGAGAGACACGTTACCACCGCGTTACTGCCACATTACCCACCGGCGACGTCTGCCCCCCTGCCCCTTCAGCTAGACAGCACCTCCAATTCGGGATAACGGAGAAGCAGCTCATGCTGAGCAACAAACCATTCTTGAAAAAAATAACGCTCAAGGGTGACTTCCTCAGGAATACAAACATATACGACATTAGCAAGCTTCTAAGAGCACATGAGAGCACCCTCGAAGAGTTGCACGTGCAGGGACTGAACGATGTAAACTGCCCCCTGTTTATTTATTCTAACCATGGCATCCTCTTCGAGTTCCTGTCCAAGGAGGTCCTTATGAACAATCTGTCTGTCCACTGCGTGAAGAAGCGTAGCTTGAGGCATATTCAGGACTTGCTGCTGCAGCGGTGTGGGGAAGCCGCGCCGGAGGGGCAGTCACAGAAGGGGCAATTACCAGAAGAGCAGTCACCCGAGGAGTCACCAGCGGAAGAATCACCCACCGAGGAATCGTCCTGTGACGCCCCCGCCCAGGGGGTCCCCATCGGAAGAGACAAAAAGGTGCACCTGCTGTGCGAGCACATCGGCGTGGTGTACAACTTGAGAAAAAATTGCTTCGAAAAAATACAAAACTACAAGCCAAAGCTGCATCTAAGTAATTACACAAGCAGCCTGACCACTTTACAGGTTCTGAACCTCTCGGGCATTCAGAGCTATGACCTAATAGAAATGCTCATCTCGGTGCACCTACCCTCTTTGAAAATTTTAAACATTTCTTGCTACGACTACTTTTTTTATTTTTACCATATGGTAGTTTCCATTTGTTTGTATGGAAGTGGGAAGGAGGTGTTTTCTCGGTACCTGCACTTAAAAAATATTGAATTGAGCAGAGACACAAATGAGGACAGGAACAGGAACGGGAACAGGAACGGGAACAGGAACGGGAACATGAAGAGTGAGTGGCTCGAAAGGAACGAGGAGTTCCACCAACTAATTAAGGAGACAGATGAGGAGGTTATTCAGGTCAATAAAATTTCCACTGCCTGTCAGAAGCGCTATGAGGAGGACGCCATAAATTATTACGCACTGAATGTGAGTAGAAACGATCGGAAGATCTTCTTCACCCCAACGTACAAGGATAGGATTTGCATGAGGGGGGTCAACCGACCCGTGCACTATGCTGATGGGACCTACATAAGGCACGACTCGGATGGTGACGACTGTTACGTAAAGCACGACTCGGATAGTGAGGGGGTTGCAAGTGCTGAACGAGGTGGCAGATGTGAACGAGACCCTCGTCGAGGTGAGGGGCAGAGCCCCCGCAAGGTCGGGCACCGCCAGCATGCCCAACCCCACAGGTGGAATAGCCCCTGTAGCACCCTTCGCAGTGTGGGGAGCGGCGAGGACAGCCCGTACAGCACGTTACGCAGCGTGGACGGAGGGGAAAGTGCAGGAAGTGTAGAAAGCGAGCCACGCGGTGGCCACCCTACAGAGTGTCAGCGTCCCCCAAAGGGGAAATGTGCCAGCCAACCCGCGTGCCACCCATCATGCAGAGCGGCGTGCCAGCGCGCGTTGCAACCGACACCCCACCACGCAACCGCCCCAGTGGCCGACGGGAGGCTGAAGAAGCTAAAGAGGGGAGGCTACATCTGGCTGGTCGAAAATCAAAAGCACAAAAAAAACGTCAGCATAGAAATGTTATACCTATGTAAAAATATAATTGAAAAGGAGGAGAAGAAGGGAAGGAAAAACATTATATGTTTAATGAACAATCTTAACGTGGAGCATTTTTCCCTTTTCAATTATGGACTGAGCAGTCCCTTCCTGTGGCTACTACTACTTATAAGATGTGATAAACTAAAGACAGTGTCCATTCTCGACCTCTGCCTTTCGCACCTTCTGTCCGCCTTGACCTTTTTAGAAGCATACCTCAAGCAACATTTATTCAACTTTCAGGGAATGATGCGAAGACGCAGGAAGAGACTTGGAAGCATATACTTCAGATTTAATGAAGAGGAAGATATAAATTTTATAAATAGAATGTATACTCGTATCATTAATGAGTTGAATTGGTCTAACTTTTCTCCTAGAAAGAATCGAGTCCTACACATTGTTATATATGTATATAACAACAAGAAGGAAAACAAACAGTTTGTAAAATATATTCGTAAAATATCTCGGTCCCTCTGGCGGTGCAATTACGTAGTGCACTACTCCATTCAGTATTACAAGTACAAGTACTTCAACCGCTACTTTGACATTGACAATTTGTACAGGGATTACGTGGTGAACGTTCTGCTCACGCACCACAAGCTGAACCAGCGCCTCATGGCGCGACGCGCGCTCCTCCCCCGCGAAGACCATCCGTAGTAGAAGAAGCAGCGCCTCCATCAGTAGCGCCTCCATCAGTAGCGCCTCCATCAGTAGCGCCTCCCCCAGTACCGCTTTTTAACAGTAGCGCCTCCATCAGTACCGCTTTTTAACAGTAGCGCCTTCTTATCCGATTTGCTTATCCCCCGCGGGAGGGATATTATCTTTTTATGTACATTAGATCGGCCAAGACAGCCTGAGAGCCTACAGCGGTGTGGCTCTTCGTTTGCCCTTTATTTTATTCTCTTTCAATATTTTTTTTTTTTTTTTTTTTTTTTTTT